GAGGGTCAGGTGGAGGCGTGTCCGAGTGTGTCCAGAGCGGAGCAGCCGAGCTTCTGACTCGTTTCTCTGAAACAAAGCTGCCACTGATGGTCGCAGCTCTGATGATGTCATGCTGTGAACGGAGGCTCTGATTGGCCCGTTGCTGTGCTGCGACATCACCGACAGGAGAACAAACTGCAGAACCTCAACAGAACACATGTCCTATGAGCGTTCTCTGACGGATCGGTCAGGTGAAGCTCTGAAGGACCAACATGAAGAAGTAAAGCTGAAGCTCATGACGGAGAGGATCCAGGAGATGGTTCATCCACCCACTCACTGATCAGCTGACCGGAGGAGGAACTAACCAGCGAGCTTCCGGTCAGCCCAGAACTGGACGGAGCTGAACAGAACCCAAACAACTCAGGTCTGGAGACTCCATCCTGCCTGAGGAGCTCATTTCTGCTGAATCACTGGAACGAAGCAGGTCTTCATCAGAACAGACTTCTGACCTCAGAGGACCAACAACTAACTAACTAACTAACTAACTAACTAACTAACCCAGTGTCTGACTCATAGTTCTGCTTCAAATGATCCAAACGTTGACTCGTCTGAGAATCATTTTACATGTAAACTTGTTTTTTTGCATCTGTGATGTTATTTTATGTATTTAAAAGATGTTGACTGTGTGAAGCCTTTAACCTCAGAAGCACATGAACCAGGTCAGAATTATAAAATAAGGTGAATAAAGAGCTGTGTAGTTGTTAATAAAGTGAATAAGGAGCTGTGTAGCTGTTAATAAGGTGAACATGGAGCTGCTGTGGTGCTGGAACAGGACCAGTCACTGAGTGCAGAGCTGCTGTTCTTTCAGGGGAACACGGACCGGGCTCCATCGGGCCCACCGCCGCTCCAGAACTCACCCAGCCCGCTGATCTCCTGCCGGCTGTTGAGTCGGTTCCTCTCGTCGGTGATGGCCTTCAGCATCTGCTGCAGGGATCCGTCCAGCTCTCCGTTCTCCTCCTCCGCGGGCCCGACAGCCTTGCACAAACCGGGGAAGGACGCCATCTCCGCGCTGGGATCATGACAGTCCGGCTAACAGCTACCGACGGCACCGGTTCACGGCAGCTAACAGGCGGCCAGCAGCAGCGGAGCGGCGCCGACGGGTCCGCGGTTCTGCCTCGACTTGATCCCGGTAAGAAGCTGCAGAGGTGCCGGAGGTCCGGACCGGAGCGCTCCGCTGTGGTGGCCGAGCAGAGAGCGGGCAGGTCGGGCTGCTGAGGGAGACTCCGGTCCTTCTGCCGTGATCAGCTGGAAACACCCTCACTCTTCCTGGAACAACACGAGGCTCTTAAAGGCGCAGAGCACCGAGCAGCGGCACGGAGCGCTGCTGCGGACGGGTCCGTCCCCGAGTTATCCGGTGCCGCGGTGCCCCGACAGCGCCTGCGCAGAAAACGAGTCGCGACAACAGGAAAGTCCGTCATCAGGAAACGAGACTACGCCTTTACTCAGGAAGTCAAAACGTAAACACGCCACATAGGAGTTAAAATTCTAAGAACAAATCTACATTTTACTGACATGTTCACACAAAGAAACACGAAGATGAAAATAATCAATATCTGAACTAAAAAGCACAGAAAGCTGAAAACAAGTGAGATGAACGTTTACACTAAATCTAAACTATGAAACTGTGAAATGTCATAATTATGAAATCAGGAGTCACAACTTTGAGGTAAAGTTTGACGTGAAACTAACATTTACAGGTTAGTAACTCAGAATGGTGACACACATTTTAATTAATTAATGAGATTACAAACTAAAAATGAGATTTTAAAAATATTATTTTATTTATTTTAACCTAAATTTAGATATAAAAAGTAAAGAATGATCAGATATAAAGTGAGATGCCCTTTCCTACTAGTGAAAATATACAAATAAAAACAGAAACTCTCAATTATGACAAAATTCAAGACTTACTAAGTCAAAGTTTTGACCTAAAAAATAAACCTAAATATATTTAAAAGCAGCTATCCTGTAGAAAACATGTATTATGATATTTAACAACAACAGCTTTTCGATAAACTGTCGACATTCTGGGGTTTTTGCGGTTAACTCAAAATATTTCACAGTTTTAATGAATAACTGACTTCGCTGAACTACAGACAGAATAATCAGTGTTTACGTTTTTCATTCCTCCTGTCACACGTTCACCAGGCTGTTAGCTTCATGGGTAGCTTTAGCTTTAGCCGTCTGCTCATTTTGTCGTGTTTGTTCCTTTTCGATGCAGCGACACACAATAAGATGATTTTAAGAGAAATCATCTTCCGGTTCCAGCAAACTGTTTCTGAACCTGCTGCTCTTCGGTGTTCACCGGTTCACGAATCTAACACACCCAGTTAGCATCGCTGCTAGCTGGTGATAATAAGCCGAGAGTCTCCGCCCGGCGGAGGGCGGGAATGAGGAGAGAAGCGACCGGAGGATGGAAAATATAAACTGTGTCCCCGAGAATTAAAATAAAACTGTCTGTAGTTGAAGTCTCGCCGCTGAACTTGTCTTATTTCCACTTTAACGTCCACCCAGACGCAGCTAGCTTGAAGCTAACGTTAGCTCAGCTCACCTGGAACTCACAGTCGGAAGATGCTCCTGAGTAACGGAACAAAGCGCGGAGCCGGTGCCGGTGCCGGTGCTCCGGGTAGTGAACACGGTGTTTACAGACGGACCGTTTCAGCTACAAACCCGTTAAAACCGTTACAGCGAAAACTGCGACCGCCACATCCTGAGACTCGATAAATGAAGTCCAGCAGGTTAACCAGCGACCGAACAGCTGGTTAGTAGGAGGTTCAGCGGTTTAAATACTATAAGAAACAGTTTAAATGTAGTTTAATTTAGATCCAGGCCACATCATCTGACGGGTAACGAAATTCAGCGGAACACCGGTGTTGCAGCGCAGCAGACTCCGCCCGCCCAGACGGCACCTCGCCGCCGGAAGAATCGGTGTGTTTAAACAAGCGCACCCTTTGTTCTAGGACAAAAGGTGACGTCATTGTTCCTGACAGAGCTGAAGTGAACGTTTGGTTCCGTCTGTTCATGGATCACACACAGTACCCGGTCATACCGGCGCTTTCATGCGTTGCTTCTGTATTTTATTCATGTGTTTTCAGTGCAGTTTCTACATAAATATGTTCAAGCTGACGTCATTTATCGTGAACTCACCAGTTAAAGTATTAAAGTGCTGACGTCACGCTGCACAAATCATTCATGTCTAACTCCTAAAGTCAGTCCTGAGCCTGCTGCTGATGTTCTGATCAGTCCTGGAACAAGCGGGGATCAGATGAACCCTCTGCGGATGTTGGCGGCCCGACCGCCGCTCGGCGGGCCTCTGTGGAAGTCGTGGCGCCGCCGGTCGGGGTCGGCGAGCGGCCCGATGGGGTCGTAGCGGGGCCGGGGCAGCAGGCGGGGCAGGTTGGGTCTCTGGTCGTATTCGCCGCCGATGATGCCGGGCAGCGGCGGGAAGCAGGGCCGGGGCGGCGGCACCATGAAGTCCGGCAGGTCAGGAGGAAGCCAGCGGACACGACCCGAGTGCCGGAGGTCACGGGCGAGCTTATAGGCCCGTTTATAGACCTGCAGGAAACACAGAGTGGATCCGAGCTGAACCAGAAACATCCAGGACTGACCTGAAATGTGTGTTGAAGCTGTAGAATATTACAGTTTATGTGGAAGGAGTGTTGAACGCTCAGCATTGGCCCTTAAATCCCTATAAACGCATGCTTATAGGATATCTGCCTTTATATAGAACAGGTTCTGTGTCCGGTCCATCAGAACTCACTACTAAACGCGCTCATGTATGAACAGAACAATGACAATAAGCCTGATGTGATGAATCCCTGTTTAGGTCTGCAGGTCATCGACAGAAGCCTTTAAAACCATCAGTTCAACAAACCGGGCCTCCAGGGTTCCTCACCTCCTTCCAGTCCGAGTCTCTGGATCGGTTTCCGTCTGAAACGCAGCAAACACTCACTTCAGTACTGATCACTTCATCCAAACACACACATCTGACAGAAACACTTGAACATGTCGAATGCTGATTTGTGGTGAAGTCCCAGAGAGTCTGATGGGTTCTAATGTGTTTCAGTCAGAACTACAGACAGGACCGGTCCAGGTGGCCCTCAAGGCTTCAGCTGCAGTTTGGATCAAGTAATCAGTGAATAAATTAAGGGATAAACATAACTTAAGGGTGTTTTAAGGACTTCAGGGCTCTCGCAGCGACTCGGATTTACTGAAGTCGTCTTTTGTATTTTCTATGATGTAAATTATGAAAGAACTCTTTAAACATTGAGCAGAAATCCCTTAAAAACACCTGAACTCGCGAAGTCCCGCAGGCACAGGTGCCTCCACAGCGAGGCGTCGGCGGTGGCGGCGCTGAAGTGTCGACTGACGGCCGACAGTCGGACCACCGATCGAACGTCCAGCAGCCGAAGGATCCGGAGGAGGAGCTCCGGAGGAAGAACCTGCAGGCCGAACGCCACCGGAAGAGACATGGCTGCAAATCCAGAGTCAGTTAGTGAGCAGGCGCTGGAAGTCCAACAACATCGTCAGTAAGCACCAGAACTTCCACTGAGGAAACCGAACAGCTGCAGAACTTTAGCAGAAGACTTTAATATGAACCAAGCAGGGCCTCCTCAGAACCACCTGGTTTGCTCCTTTTATTCATGCGGAGTTAACACGAAGAATATAAACGGATCAAACGCTTCACCAGAGACTCAGGTTTAATCATCTGCTGCTGGTTCTGTCCATCTGACGGCTCCACTGATCCACTGGACGGAAACACATCTTAAAGGAGGAGTCGAGTCCCTGAACACACCGTCTGGACCGCCGGTGTCCTGACTTCACCTTCAGTAGTAAATAGAACCCAGTCAGAGTTCTGTCTGAGGAGTTTAAGGGATGAAAACCTTTAAGACTTCCCTCAACCTGAAGCTCTGAGCTCCCTTAAGGCGACAGTTTCCTGTTAGTTCATCATTTCAGATGTAATCATCTAGTTCATGTAGACCGTGTCCATCAGATGAGACTTTATTTACATTTAGTGAATCTAAACCCAGTTTCATGACCAGAGATATAAAAACGTCCAACGAGCTGCTCTGATGGGTTTTTATCTTTTAATTAAATGTTTTTGATTTGATCAGAGAAACTTTTCACTGAAACGTTTCCATGACGACGACACACCGCTAGCTGTCAAATCAAGCTGCTGTCTTTGTGTGTAGCTGCATTTAAATCATAAACCAGGTGAGCCAGGTGAGCCAGGTGAGCTGTGGTGAACACTGCATCAGTTTTACCGTCTCTGGCGGCGGCGATCAGCGGATATGCCAGCTGGTCCTTGAAGACTCGTGACAGTTTCCTGAGGTCCCTGAACGCAGCAGCAGCACTTCCTCCTGCACACACATACAGCTGTCAGTGACTGGCTGAGAGGTTGCCATGGCGAAGCTGAGGCGACCAATCACAGCTCTACCTGCCCACTCGGCCGTCACGTAGCTCGATGGATCCAGACACAGTTTACGAGGCGTCGCCACGTTTTCCGTCACCTTCAGAGTCGCTGCAGAGGAAAAGTTCAGAGACGAGTTTAAGGGCAAGAAAACCCTTAAAAACACCCTTAGAGAGAACCCTTAAGGAGAACCCTTAGAGAGAACCCTTAAGGAGAACCCTTCGAGCTAGAGCCTTGAACTGGATGTTTCCTCCTCTATAAAGTCAACCTGCTGCTAACAGTCGGTTTGATCGTCCAGGTCTCTGATAATAATAAACGACAAACACACTGAATCCAGGATCATCTCTAATCAAAGCCCTGATTACACGTGACTCATATTAATGAGGAACTCACTGTTGATGCTCAGAACCGGGCCCAGACTGACCGCCAGCAGCGACACCACGCTGCCCCCACACAGAGGATGGAGGTACTGCAGCCGGTACACTCCAGCTGGGGTCCTCCAACCTGCAGGCATCTGGACGGACACCTGAGCAGAGCTCACCTGGCAGCTCTGAACACACACAGAGACACACCTGAACACCTGTACCTGAGGACGTACCTGCTGATGGACCTGAGGACGTACCTGCTGATGGACCTGAGGACGTACCTGCTGATGGACCTGAGGACGTACCTGTCCTGTTTCACACTCACCTGAGGGGTGAATCCCGTCTCGATCATGAGCAGGTGAGCCGCCACCATGACGGCGTCGCTGGGACTGGTGCTGCCAGCTGATTGGTAGAGCAGCTCCAGGGACAGCGGGGCTCCGCCCTCCTCAGCTTCACAGCACAGCATTGGCTCCCAGACGGAGGTCACGTGACCAGAGTCCGTCGGGTCAGGGTCCCCGAGGCCCAACGGAGCCGCAGAACTGGAGCTGGGCTGGAACACAACAACACACCTGTCAGGGCCCGAACAGAACGAGACGACGGCTCAGACGGGTTCTGCAGCTGCTCATCAGAACCACAGCTCACGGTTCACAGTTAGCCGTCGGTTCCCTTCAGTTACATCCGAGTGTTTGAGGAAACGTTGCTGAAACGTTCTTCACTGACTGTTGTGTTCCAGTAACAATGAACGGTAGAACCAAACAGAATCGGACCGAACCTCTTATTTCTAACATGGTGTTTGTTCTGACGGATCGTTCTGGGTCCAAACGCACTCGGTTCAGCTGAACGCTTCACGGACCAACTGGGTCGCTCTGCTGCTGAAGGACCAAACCGAGCCAACACAGAACTTTATCTGCTACGGGAGCAGAACCAGGAGAAACCGTTTGTTCTCCTGATGTTGAGTCTGAGCATCAGTTTAATGAATTGGGTCCGTTGTGCAGTGAACCGGGCTTTCATGGGTCCATTAACCGTAACAAACCGGCATCGCTCAAAAAATGGACTCTAGTCACGAGTGTCTACTGAACAGAACCTCCTCAGAGCTTCAGTCAGAGCTGCTCAGGTGAAGCTCTCACCTGGTCCGATGTCTGGCTGTCGGTCTGCTGGTTCTGGTTCTGGTTCACTGAGCTGCTGCTGGTGGTGTTGGTGGTTGCTGCGTCTGCAGACTGAGGCAGCAGGACACAGATCAGATCTCCAGAGACGATTCCACAGGACGACAGAGTTTGATCAGAACCTGAGAGCAGCTCCGACCCGTTTAGAGACAAACTGAACTCTGTGTCTGAGCTGAAACAGAAACAGAAGCAGCAGATGTTCTGATCGCAGCGACGCCACAACAACAAACTGAAAGTACAATTAGAATACCGACACACGAAGAAGAAAATGAAACGGTGCTGAGTTCTGACCCGAGTCCATGGCTGGACAGCAGCTGCTCCCTGATCTGCTCTGTGAGTTCTGCCACACTGGGATCTTCTCCCAGTAGCTCCAGTCTGCTGGTCCGCCGAAGGATCCGAACTCGCAGCTTCATTCTGAGAACAAACATGGTGGTGATCAGTTCACACCGTCAGCAGACCCACAGAGTCCAAACCCGCTGCTGCCGAACAATCTGTCGACACGTCTGGATGAAAATACAGGAGTTCTGCAGCTGAACGCCCGCGGACGCTGTCAAGAAGTCCATGAGGACATGTACCAGGAACCAGAAGCTCTGTGGTTCAGGCACTTTTATTAGAACTTTCATTTACATTACTGTTCACATTTTTAGTGAATTCTCTCAACATTATCTGTCCCATTTTATTGTGAAAACCAAGCAGGACTTCATCCTGTTTGTAGTTCTTTTAGCCTCAGATTGCGTTGGCAGGTTTTACTAAAATTTGACGAAAAGTCAACGGACCCTGGCGGAGAGACTCCAGCCCCTAAACAGAGCATCTCTGGTCACTGGGATGCTTCCTAATGAGCTTCTGCTGCTGTTCACATGAACACAGCTGGAACATATTTCATATTTACGTCCATCTCTGTGTCTGAAGTCATCCGGCTGATAAATAATGTCGCTGTTTTAAACTTCAGCTGATTAAAGAACAAAGTCTCATAGAGAATCTGTCCTGTTCAACTTTTGATGAGTCATTTATGTTGTTTTGTGTTTTGCAGCATTTTAGCATCAAACCACAGTGTGCTGACGTCATTTAACCAAACTTCACGGTGAAATATGAAATAAAGTCCGTTAACGGCGACCACCGTCAGAAAGTTTAGTCACACAGCAGGAAGACACACTTCAGCTTAGCTTAGCATCAGTTTAGCTTCAGTTTAGCTTCAGCTACACAGCAGCCAGTTTGATTTTAAATCTCTTTGTTGTTTTGAACTGAAACGTTTCGTTTTCGGTTCAGCGTCTGAACGCTGCGGACGTTTCTGGGAAACTGCTGCGTAGCTCTGGAGCTGCTAGTTAGCGTTAGCTAACCGGGTTAGCTAGCCGGTTAACGGAGTGGTTTAGTCCTGACAGACAAACAGAGAAACTCACGTGAAGAACTGACCGCTGGAGTCACAACATCTCAGGTGGTCCGCAGACAAACAGGTGAGTCCGGACGACAAGGCAGCGGAAAACACGCAGCGCACCGCTTCCGGTGGGGCTTCACAATAAAACTCAATGCAACAATTAAAAACTAAATTAAATTAAATTAAATTATTCTTCAAATACAGCGACTTATCAAAACAAATTAGAACTAAACAAAATAAAACAAATCTTAACAACAGTCTACAGTGGAACAGTTTGTAAACTAAAATGTACAGAATGACATCAGGCCACATAAACATTGCTCCTAATCTCCTCTGTCATTAAGAGCCTAAACGTTAAACAGCTGCATTAAACTACTTATTTCTTATTTAGCTGTTTGCCTGCACCTGCACTTGGCACACAGCAGCTTCTTCGCAGCACGCTGGGACATATTTATTTTTGGGGGTTTTTTGTCTGTTTTGTTGTTGTGTTAACGTAAAATTAAATTCTGACATCAAGTTAATGGACTTCAGTCGTGGTACGACAGGGCTGTGCTTTTGTTTTGAAGGTTTGTCAGTAAAGTTTGGGCATTTGTCGAACTTGACTACATATTATGTGACTACAGTTACGGCAAGCGAGCAGTTTAACGCTGCGACAACTCTGTGGCTGCTCAGGACCACAAATACACAAATATACTCCGTTTAATGTCACGTGCTCTTAGGTTTTATTCCAGCATTATCTCGGGAGAGTTCGGTGTTTTTGCTGCGTCATTACAAATAGAAAATCGCGTCTCGCCTCGGTCAGCACACCGGCTTCCGTAGCGCTCGGCTGCTGTGGTCACGTCAGACAGAAACGCAGCGTTAAACTCTGAAGTCTGTCAACTGGAAGCTTCAAAAGCAGAACCATGAGTCGGAGCTACAACGATGAGCTGCAGTTTCTGGATAAAATCACCAGTAACTGCTGGAGGATTAAGAAAGGCTTCGTTCCCAACATGCAGGTCGGTGCTGCTGCTAGCTGCTAACGTGGCTAGTTAGCCGGTTAGCTTCAGAGTGTTTGCACATGTCGGCTAGTTTCCCTCAGACAAAGTCTATCACAAGTTATATCTAATTATAAACAGAAAGAAAATAAATTGTCAGTTCAATCAGCCGCAAACTGACATTAAAACAGTCAAGACGAAGCAGTGATGCAGCAAAGACGAGTCAGCAGACTGACAGTCACTGCTGCTGCTGTAT